GGCAGGTCAAGAATCACATGTTAAGATAGAAATAGTATCAAATGAAAACTATTCAATTTTAACAATTCATTTAAGGAAATGTTTGTAAATTAAACATTAAATAATAATATTTGACAAATAAATGAACTCAATAAAAAAACTCAGTAAAAAAATTCTCATATAAGTAGAATCAACATTAAAACCACAGAGCTTCTGATAAGAAATACATTATTTGCCTTTTTACAAAGTGAGTTCACATGGGGGTCAAAGGTCAGTTTGTCATGGAGAACAGTTCCCAGATGTTTATGTTGATGCACCACCTCAACAGCTTCACCATTAATGACCACGGGAGCTGCAACTGAAGAGTCTTTTCTGAAATCAATGACCATCTCTTTTGTCTTAGAAATATTTAACTTTAAAAAGGAAGACTCAACCATTCAATGAAGTCTCTGACCCCAGGACCAGGGTCTGGGTCATCACTGCTGAGAAGAGACAGGATGACAGAGTCATCAGAAACTTTAAAATGTGATGCTGTGGGAACTGGCTGCAACTATTGTTTGTATATAAAACAAATAAAAGGGGTGAAAGAACACAGCCCTGAGGAAAACTGGTACAGTGCTCATGGTAGTTGTGCTCATGTTGTTATAATTTATTTGTTACAATTATCAATTCATCCAGCCTTTATTTCTACAGGTTAATCCCACTGAGCCTTGAGGACTCATTTACAAGAGAGACCTGATTTCAACAGTGATGACAACAATGGACAACAACAATAGACAGTCACAAAAGAGGCATATTGGGCTGAGATGGTGTAGAGGCAGGGCAGCCGGCCGGGACCGAAAGTCCCACGTTCAATCCCCAGTCACTGCACACCTCGTGGTGTCTCTGGGCAGCACACCTCATCCCCCAAATGCCCACTGCACCACCTGGTGGTGGATGGGTTACATGCAGAAACTGATTTTGCCATTGTATGGAAACATACAGTGATGACATTATTATTAAACAAACTTAAATATCTCTTTTTTTTATCAAAACAAAGTAGCAACCAAAAGGACAGTCAAAAGGAAAAGTAGCAAAAAGAAAAAAACAGGTAGATTATAAGGCGGTGTAGAAAACTAAAAACAGGAACATGTGTGCGTTGGTTCTTGTCAGGATGCACTTGAACAACATAAACACTGACACCTAATAATCCCTGAACCTCTTTCATGTTCAAAAGGATCTCCATGTCCTTTTGACTTCTGTAAATGCTCAACATGTTCAAGACTCTAGGAAATAACGACTTTCCTGTGAGCATTTGAATGCAACACAGTGCTCCTCCTACTTCCGGTGAAAAACCGCTATCTGTCAGTAAAAAACACAAGCGGACTGGAAACCGCTACCCGGACCTGAGCTGCAGGTTTTCTGGGACTGAAGCGTCTTCGGAAACCCTCAGACATCATGCCCAGACGGACGTAGCTGCCCCGGGACCGTCGCTGCCTCTTCAGCCGGCTGAAGGACGGAACGGGACGGACACAATCGCATGGATAGGCCGGGACGGCTGCTGCTGGTGTCCGAGCTCCGCGTCAGGAACGCGGCGTACAATGTGAGCCTGAGCCGGTCCCTGCTCGCATGGAAGAGACGGGCCCCCAGCCCACTGTACCACCCGTTCAGACCCAGTAAGACCCGTTCTTATGTTCCGTCTGTGTGCGTCTTTAACCTCACGGTGACCTCCGCTGTGGAGAACACGGAGAGGACATTTTATTTAATCAGGAGGAAACAGATGTTTGGACTGCAGGGAGACTTCCGGTTTACCTGAGTCTGTCAGCGGCAGACATAAAGGCTGCTGTCTGCAGATGTGGAGTAAATGCAAACATCTGTTAG